ATGATATTTAAATTCTGTTTTCAACTAACATCAAGGTTTAAAACCATAAACATCTCATTTCCAGGCAAATTAAAGGCTTGGTTTCAGCAGCTGGGATGCCAGCTATGAGGGTCTTAAGAATGGCTTATCATTACTGTATGTAATGAACCAGGGAATTGGGACCCTAATCCTCAGGGCACCTCCTTGAAAGCCTATCCCCCAAAGGCACTGTTTCCGGAGTTGGCACTGCAATGCAATGAATCAAAGACAGTTAAAATTAGAGGTGCCACAAGAGTGTGGGGAAACATGGGGAGGCTCAGCAACTTTGAGCTGGGTTGAGAACAGTTAACATCTGCTCTCCAAGGCAAGTTTTCCTGATCTGAATAAATTGGGGTTATACGTGTATTATGGATGCACAGAAGGCATCACAATTTTTTCTAAATAAATACCTTTAAGAGGTTGTTGTTATTGCTATCATTAACAGACCTCTGATCTTATTTCATGAGTAGTTGACAGTAGTAGCGAGCGACCAAGAAAAAAAACAATTCTGGGAATATGGTGGGTCTGTTAAGGGACTGAGGAAATGTAAAAAGGGGAATGTTTTTAAAACTGCATTGTGACTTTAATGCTCGGTTTTAAAAGAGAATTTCACATTATGAATGAATTGGTAGTAAGAATAATGATGAATATTTTTTTTAATTTTTAACCCTATGTGTCACTCTATGGTTACATACTCACAAGTAACTGCCACTGAGCTGCATTTTAGGCAAGAGAGAAATGACCAGTGGGCTCTCTTGGTCCAATGTATTACGGTAATCTCTTCTTGGGATAAAAGTCTCCCGATGAGAAGTATTTAGAAGTAAAGTATGGTGTAATCCTCCTTACATTGTATATACCTTCTTATACAAATTATGTGTGTCTATATACAGAGATAGATATAGATATATAGACACACATATACATACATATATGTTCATATACATACATATGTGTGATTATGTGTGTAACTCTGTGTGTGTGTGTGTGTGTGTGTAGTCCTCACTAGGAGCTCTCTATACTAATGAAATCATGGGCCCACCCAAATGTGTGTCTACACATATCATGTATATATGTACGTACACACATACAAATGGCCATACATAAATACATTTGCATGTATATATGTGTATATGTATCCATATATTGTGTACATGTGTATAAATATAAACATAATAGCACAGTGGCAAATTTCTAGGACTATAATTTGCAAATCAGAAGCCAATCATTTGTGGGGGAGAGAGAAAGACAAGGAAAGACAGAAACAGAGAGAGAGACAAAGAGACAGAGATGAAGAGACAGAGTGGGGATAGACAGAGACAAAGATCGGGGTGGAGAGATAGCCCACAGAGACAGAGAAAGCCCCCCTTTAACATGCACAGGATATTTATATATGTGTGTATGTATCCATATATTGTGTACATGTGTATATACATATGCACAGTAGTGTGGTAGCAAATTTCTATTTGCAGAGCAGAGGCCAATCCTTTGTGGGGGAAAGAGAAAGACAAGGACAGACAGAAACAGAAAGAAAGAGTGAGACAGAAAGACAGAGATAGAGAGGGAGGGAGAGAGGCAGGGTGGGGATAGTCAAAGACAGAGATGGGGGTGGGGAGACAGCAGACAGAGACAGAGAGAGCCCACCTCTGACACAGAGAGGATATGTAACTCTGGCCAAGTCATTAACTTCTCAGTTATAGTCTACATTGGTAGTGGGAGAATTAAATTCTCCCCAAAATTCCCACACTCTCTCCCTTTCCACTGGAGTGGGGGTGGGGAGAACACTTCTGGATAAGCCTTAAAAAGCCTTGTTTTGTCCAGCACCGGGGACCAAAGCAGGCTTTCTGGAGTCACACGGGCCCAAACCCAAAGCCTTGGTGTTCACTGCTACAGTCACGATCACTAAAGCTCTATAATTCTGCTTTCACAAAGATGTGTGAGGTTACTAACTGGAATCATAGAATCTTAAATGCTGAAAGGGCCTTCGAGGTCATTCATTCCAAGCCCCTTCGTTTAGGGCCTGAAAAGTTAATGGCAGACCTGGGACTGTGACACAGGCCTCTTGGCTCCACCCCCATTCCCACAGTTTAGGACTCTTTCCCCTATACTGGCTAAAGTGGAAGTCAAGCAGAATAAATCTAATTATTTCTCTTCTACCTGAAAATCATTTAAGCCAACTCCAGGTAACTGGGTGGCATAGTGGATAAAGCAGAGCGTAGAGTGAGGAATACTAAATTCAAATCCTTCTCCAGAAACCTTCTAGCCATGTTATCCTCTCAGACTAATTTTCTTCTTCTGTAAAATGGGCATGATAATAGCCCTACCTCATAGCATTGTTGTGAAAATCAAATGTCACCTGCTATGTTAATGTTAGCTACTAGTATCCATACTGACCCCGATTTGAGCTTTATGGTTTATAGTCAGGATATAAAAATATCACCCAATATCCCAAATAGGATGTTCTTCAGCTCTCTGCTCAGTATATCTGCTGCCTCTGCAAAGGCCAGAAAGAAGCTTCTGGCAAGAGCAGAGGGATCCTTTCTTATGTCCCCTTCCATGACTCTGTGTCCCACGCAAGCGAAACCCCACCACACAAAGGTGTTTCATTTGTAAACGGTCGCACCAGGCAGCCCAGAAAACGGAGTGGCTAGGGGAAGCCCAGAAGGTCTCTGAAGGCTCTGTCTCCTGTGAAATGGGCATAATAATAGCACATCTACCTCCCACAGTTGTTGTGAGAATTAAAGGAGGAAATATTTGTAAGGCATTTAGCCTAACACCTGGCACTTAGCAAACATTATATAAATGTTAGCAATTGTTGTTATTGTCATTAATTATTAGCTCCTTATATATCTTATATAAATGCACTTCTGGGGAATCACGAAGAATTCTCAGAGTTAGAAGGGACTTCCTAGGGAAGGGGTGGGGGAACCTGCGGCCTTGAGGCTACATGTGGCCTTCTAGGTCCTCAAGTGTGGCCCTTTGACAGAACCCAAACTTCACAGAACAAATCCCCTTAATAAAAGGATTTGTTCAGTAAAACTTAGACTCAATCAAAAGGCTGTACCCAAGAACCTAGAAGGCCACAAGTGGTTTCAGGGCCAAAGGTTGCCCATCCCTGTGTTGGGGAATTTAGTCCAAACCATAACTGAACAAGGCTCTCCCAGACAAGTCATTCAAACTTTGACTAAACACATCAAGTGAAGGGGAAGCCACTACCTCCCTGCCCTCTCCTCACTGTGAGACATCTGATTCCATTTGGGGATAATTCTAATTGTTAAGAAATTTTTCCAGACATCAAGCCTAAATTTGTGCACCTGTCACCCCTAGTTCTGTCCTCTGAGGCCAAGCAGAATAAGTCTAATCCCTTTTCTGATGGACAATTCTTCAGATCCTTGAAGACAACCATCACGTCATCCACCATCCCCACCTCCCAACCTCCAACTTCAAATCGTCTTCTCTATTTTCCTTCAGATGATTCCCAAAAGGCATGAGCTTAATTCTCTTAACCCTACCGAATGCTCTCCTCTAGACAATCTCTGTTTTATCAGTGTTCTTCTTAAAATACAGTGCCCCCAAGTGAACACTGATAAAATATGTTTCCTATGTGATCTGACCTGAGCTGGACTACCAGCTTCCTAATCATGGGCATCTGTTTCTCTTAATGCAGTTTAATAATACATCAGCTTTTTGTACACCATTGTCTCATCCTGAATCAACAGGCCATTAAAGTCTTTTTTTTTTATGAAATACCAACCATACCTCCCTCATCTTGTATTTGGGAAACTGAATTTTTGAACCCATATGTAACACTTTACTTTTATGCCTATTCAAATTCATCTTATTATTAGATTCAGCCAAGATTTCTAGCCCGTCAAGATCTTTTTGGATTCTGACTCTATCTTTTTATGTGATAACAGAGCTCTACTTTCCCAGCTGTTTGTCACCTTCAAATTTGATAAATATGCCATTTATCCTTTAATCCAAGTCATTGATAAAAATATTGAACAGCACAGAGATAGGCACAGATGCCCAGGGCTCTCCACAGTAGACCTCCTTCCAAAGTGACACTGAACCATTAATTGGTTGCACTCTTTAGGTCCATTCAATCAGTTCTAAATTCATCTAACTCAACCATCATCTATTTCATAACTCTCCTTCTTACCACAAGAATACTATGAATTTAATAAATGCTTTGCAAAAATATAGGTAAATTCTGTCTACAGCATTCCCCAGATCTAGTAGCCCATCAAACAAGAAATTAATTTTAATCTGGTATGAATAGTTCTTGATAAAGCTAGCCTAGCTTTTTGTGACCACTATTCCTTTTTCTATATGTTCACAAACCATCTTTTTAATAGCGTGATCTAGAAATATATTCTAATTTCAAATCTCGCCTCTTCTATGGACAAAGCTTTCCCTACATACCCTACTTGAAGTGATCTCTTGCCCTCATAACTCTTACTGTATTTACTGACTCCACCATTTATCAATAAATCTTGTAATAATTTGTGACATCTTATATTGTCATTCAAGTCAAAAAACATGTATTAGGAGCTTACTATGTGCCAGGCACTGTGGTAAATTCAGCATTTGTACATTTATGTTTTGTCTCCGCAACCAGACTATAAACTCTTTGAGGACGTGAGCCTAAGTTATACTTTTTTTGCACCTTTATAGTGCTTAGCACAGTGCTCTCCATAGGTCTGAAAAAATATGTGTTGATTGGATTTGATTTACTCTAAGACAAGCTTGGATTTTCCTTGATTACAACAGAATTAGCAATAGATTAACTGGCTGCTCTGGGTGCCCCTAGAATCGCTGTCCCACCTCCGTCTAGCTCTGTTTCTTCTTTTCTCCACACTCAGAAGACAGAATAACTATTGTGCCCCTCCATGCAAGGTAAAGAAGAAAACTGTCCATTTCAACCTATCACGTCATTTCCTAATCTTTGTGTCCTACTTAATAAGTGGGGGGAAAAAGCATACCCTCGGTCTGTCCAATAGAATTTACGGTTGATCCAATCCACAGCAATACTTTCCGGTGTGTCTATTGCTTCCTGAATGAGTATTTCACGCTCTGAGCCATCCATGTTAGCTCTCTCTATCCACTTCAGTGTTGTGTGTGCAAAGTAAATCTATAAAAGAAAAAGACAGGATTCTTTCTGATTACTTTATTTAAAAAAAAAAAGATGTGAGGGGAATGGCAAACTCTTTATTCATTTTAATTTTTTTAAATTTCATGTCTGTCTGCACTTGCTATTCATGGTATGCTAATCTCATCCATTAGTTAAGAATTCAGCCTTTGTTTTGCAATCCATATTATTTCTACAATCTGCATATCCTAAGCAATTAGTGAGAGATGAGATGTGATCCCATGCCCCTGACTCCCAAGTGCTGAACTGAGAGTCCAGAAAATAGGCTGCCAGTTCCAGGTCTGCAGCTAGTTCATTGAGTGACCTTGGGTACTCCCCTGTACTCAGAGATGTGCTAGAGCCAGCTTGAGTCCTGGCTAAAGAGAGATGATTGTTATATTTTCAACGTGAGAACCTATATGTCAAAAGTCAGCAAATGCTGCAAACCAGGACTTACTTGTGTTGATTGCCTAGACTTCAGAAATTGACAGAGAAAATATTAATGCAGACTAAACTTAAAAGTGTGTCTAATTACTTTGTTCCCCAGAAAGTTTGTTGTTAAACATATACCAGCACACCATTTTCTGTGACTCATTATCGTCATTCATAAAATAAGGACTGGACAAGAAGATTTCTAAAGCCCTAATTCTACAATTTTCTCCTAAATCAACCCAATATGTCCTCCACAAGATTCCCTGAGGGGAAAAGATGCAACAAACTGATAAGAAGGTATCCATAAATCAGGGCCATAACTAGTACAGGGTGACTGGGTCTTTGCCCTAGATGTTGGATTTGGAGAGCCTGGACAGCACTTTCAGTCCTTAAACAGCCAGAAACAGCGGAGCTTAGCACATAGTTAACAGGAAGAATTCATTAAAAGAGGAAGCTAGCAGATCATAAATTGAGCAAGCTCCTCCCATCCTCATCACCAGCATCCCAAGTTTCTTCACCCACTCTTCCATTGCTCCAGGTGTGTCTTGTGATGTGTGCCCCAGGTACGTACACACAAATACACACACACACACACACACACACACACACACACACACCTTAGAGATAGCTCTACAAGAACTGCTGAGTTATTAAACAAGAGCTGATCTCGCCATTTTTTTTTCCCTTTGGGAAGTACAGAATATTTGATTACTTCACTGCCACTATGGTCACCCTGCAGATTATAAGACACCACCATTCCAGAAAGATCACTGAATGTTAAATATTTAATACCTTAAAATTGAAGTGAAATTCTGAAAAGATCATAAGCCTTAAAAGTCATTTGGAATCTCCTTGCTTACCTTGTGGTAAAAATACTAGGTAAAGAACATACAGCAAAGTATCAATCATAATAGAAGAGTATACCTGAAGAGTGTGGTGGCTGTGTCAGCTTACTTCTCCTGAAGTGAAGAAGATGACCCAGGGTAATGCAAATCACAGAGTATGCTAACACTCTCTAGACACATTCTCTGATTATAATAACAATTTGATGCTGGACTTATATAAATGGTTAAGTCTGAGTATAAAATTATTTATGAAAAGAAAAGGAAGAAAGATAGCTGGTAATGCTTTATATCAGAAGTCCAATTTATAATATTCTTTATATATGACTCCTAATCCCAAATAAATTGAACCAGTACCAATTTACCTCACTCTCTCATCTACTAACAGATTGCCTGGAATCATAAGAACTAGTCTGTGTTGTCTTCTAATGCTAATTAGAAAGGTCAGGATGCATACCAATTACACGACAGAAATTGACTTCCTCTTATCAATTTTGTTTCATTCAACAAATACTTATTAAGTTCCCCCTATACTTAAAGCACTGTGCTATTCACTGAATGATATTAAAAAAGAGAGAGAGAGTGTGATAAAATTTGGGCCCTGTCCTCAAGGAATTTACAATCCAGCAGGCCATGTCTTAACTTGCACACAAATAATAATTCATCATAAATGCATAAGAACTTGGTATAAATTAGTAGCTACCATGCAGATATATTATCTAAGGAAAAACTAATGAGATAAAGAATTTCCATTGTCCCTTGTGAAATTTTCTAAATGCAAGGCAACATTATTATACCAGAAAATATTTCCATTCTTTGATACCTCAAGAACTGGTGATTCCATGTAGACTCTCCCTCCAATGTTGCCATTACCACTATCAGAAGATTACAACATATAATAACCCATCCCTAGGGTTTTGTAGCTTTCAAAAATTATGGATGCCAAACAGTACCATTTTCCACCTTCTCTTCTTATAATTGAATGTATTTTGATGGCTACATTCAGAATTTATAGCAGGTTATTCAAAGAATCATAGCCCTAGAGCTGGAAAGGATTTCAGAGCCCATCATCTCATTTGACAGATGAAGAAACTGAGGCTTGGGGGAAAGGAGTTTAAAAGTCTTGCCCAAGATCACATGAGTAGTAAGAGTCAGAGGAAGGATTTGAACCCAGGTCCTTTTTCTCCCACGATGCCACATTGCCCTGCCAAGCATTTTCCAAACAGCTGTGCAACATATTCAATACACCAAGAAATATATGGGCAAATGTTCAATGGATTAAGCCTGCAATTGAGAACAGATCTCCATGAGTTAAACAAAGTATTCATGTTACAAAATTGGGTAAGTCCTGCTATAAGCCAGATTTAGAGAGTTCATATGCAATGAACCATGGTGATTATGTTTACAGATTGTCATAGTTAAAAGGAAAATGGCAATTGAATCCTTTCCCTCCTTACACATTTAATCACCGATTCATTTCTTGGCCCCATTTATTCAGACCTCCTTCCCATCTCCATCCCTATTGCCCTAGCTTCTCCCACTATCATCAGATCAATCATAATAATGATATATGGCATCTAACTCTTCTTTTAGGGCTTACAAAGCCCTCTACATCTATGGTCTAATTTTTGCTGAGTATCTATTATGTGTGAGGCCCTCTCATACTAACCTCATTTCCCAAAGGAGAAACTACTTTCAAGATCCCTTGAGATGTTGCCCATTACAAGATCTGATTTTTAATAAAGAAGAGGATTTGAGAGGGCAGGGGGGACTAACCTGTGATTTCATTAGTGTAGGGAACTGTGGGTGAGGAAATCTCCTTTGCCAATGATATGAGCACCTGCTCTAACACATCATCTTAGAGAGTTGCTTGGGGGCACTGAAAAGTGAAGTGTCTTGGTCAGGGCTACCCAGCCAATATGTCTGAGGCAGGACTTGAGTACTGTATTTCTGACTCGAAGGCTAACTGTATCTACTGCTCCATATAGCTTCTCTTTAGCAGGATCAAGCCCTCAAAATGCATCTGGAGATAAAATATCTCAGATATAGCTGCCCATTCAGACCATCGGTGCCCAATCAGCATTTCCCAACCTCTCAGCCTCTTCTCCTTCCCCCTCAGTCTAATGCATAATAACCAAGGTCACCTATTAGGATTAGAAGCAGAAGAGACAAGGTCTGAAAAAAACCACCACTGTCCCCACCTCACTTCCAAATCCTCTCATTTTTAAAGCCTTACCTTATTTTCAACCAGATCATGATCTAATGCTAAGACCACTCCCATCTGCTGGCTGAGCAGGCTTTCATACTTTGTCCCATCAAAGTAGATGCGCCGAATATCATGTGTGTTGGCAAACAGTAAAAAGGGCTGGGGTCCTGTTGACCAAATTTCATTCATGACTTCATTTGCTAGAAAGCATCATGTTTCAGTTACCTCTTATCCCCTCCCAGTCACTAAAATTCCACTCTTAGAGATTCATCCTTTGGATCAATCAAACCTGCTCCAAGCATCTTCTTTTAATAGCCAGGATTTATAAAGAGCTTTAATGTCTGCAAAGCACTTTACAAATGTTAGCTCATTTCATCCTCCTGACAACCCTAGGAGGTAGATGCTGTTGTTATCACCATTTTACCGATAAAGAAATGGAGACCGAGGTTAAGAGGCTTGCTGGTATCTCCTTTTAATAACTAGCACTTTGCTGTTCAGTCACGTCTGACTCTTTGTGACCCTGTTTGGTGTTTTCTTGGCACAAACACTGGAGTGGTTTGCCATCTTTCTCCAGATCGTTTTACAGATGAGGAAACTGAGACAAACAGGGCTAAATTACTTACCCAAGGTCACACAATATTAAGATTCAAACTCAAGAAGACAAGCCTTTCTGATTCTAAGCCCAGGGCTCTATCCACTGCACCACTTATATATCACTTTAGTATTTGCAGAGCATTTTACAAATATTATCTCATTTGATCTTTACTACAACTCTGGGAGGTAACACTAATATTATTATTAATTTAATAATATATAATAATAGTATTAATGTTGATTAACAATATAGTCATTGTTAACAATAATATGGTGCTATTATTCCCATTTTACACATAAGGAAATTGAGGCAGAGGTTAAGTGACTTACCCAGGGCCAAATAGCTAGATCTGAGCTCAGTTCTTTCTGGCTCAAAGTCCAGCACACCATCTTCTGGACCCCCTAGCTACTCCTAAAATGCACCTACTCCTGAAGGGGAAGAACACACTAAATCGCTATAATACTTCAAGGTGAATGAGTTGAAATGAGTGGTGGGATGGCTGGAGTATTAGAGTTGGGAGGAGCTTCTAAAGTCATCCAGTCAAACTCCTGCCTGAACAGGAATCTTTGCTTTAATTTCCTTGGTAAGGAAGCTCCCAACTACGGTAACTCTTGTGATGGACAATTGACTAGAACTTAATAAAGGCAAATAATTGAGAGAAAGAAATGGCCCTAAAGGGGAGGAAAAAGACATCCTCCCCCACAACTCCCAGTGGAGTAGGAGGCACCAAACACGGTCTTGACCCATTTCTGAATTTGCCTGTTGCTTCCCCCATCTGCCACACATCATCAAGATGGCCATGTTGCCAAGTGTAAGCATTTCACAGTCCCATTTAGGATCATGGGGAATGGAGAAGGAGCAGTCATCTAGTCCAATCCCTGTTCCTCCCCTTTTTTTATTAAGTGAACAAACTGCAGCACAAAAGTAGTTAACTTGCCTGAGGTCAAAGCTAGTACTTAGACCTAAGCTCTCTGTCTAGACCCCAAGCTTTTCCTATCACACAATGTGGCTTTCTCTGGAAACCTCTTCCCTATATTTGTATAGATTAGAATACATGAATATAAACTCCCCTGGCCTAGACGCATGTGGTCAGGGAGACGAGAACATTCAATCACAAAAAGCTACAGGATTATTTTCCATTTCTCAGATTCTGCTGCATTGAGTGGGATGCTGGTCAGCTAGAGCCCTGTGAGGGACAAAAAAGGCAAACCCTGCAGAATCATTACATTCTCCTAGATTGTATCATTAATAAACCATCAGTAAATATAAAAACCATTTACTGCATGTCTGAAGCTGTCAGGAAGAGCTGCCACAGAGGAAGCTAGGTGACACAATGGATATAACACTGGGCGTGGAGCCAGGAAGACCTGCATCCAAATCCGGCCTCAGACACTTACCAGCTGCGTGATCCTGGGCAAGTCAATGAACATCAGTTTGCCTCAGTTTCCCCATCTCTTTTGTTGTTGAGCTGGGTTTTTTTTTTTGTCATTTTGTTTCATTTTGTTTTGTTTTTGCTGTTTTTTGTTGGGTTTTTTTTTGTTTATTTGTTCATTTCAGTTGCATCTGACTCTTCATGACCCCATTTGGGGTTTTCTTGGCAGAGATACTGGAGTGTTTGCCATTTCCTTCTCCAGCCCATTTTACAGATGAGGAAACTGAGGCAAATAGATGGTATCTGAGGCCAGATTTGAACTTAGGGTGCTCTATCCACTGCACCACCTAGCTGATCTCCCTATCTCTAAAATGGGGATAATAACACCACCTACTTCCCAGGATTGTAGTGAGGATCCAGTTAAATAATAATTGCCGATGTGCCTAGACAGACGAGCTATATAAATGTTAACTATTATTAGTATTATCATCATCAAATGAGATAACATGTGTAAAGCATTTATCACAGAGCTTGGCACAGGGGAGACACTTAATACTTGTTTATTTCCTTATTTTGGAGGAAAAAAGTATTAATGAAGCAAAACATTTCAATATGGACAGAAGAATAATTGTCGGTCTTAGGATTACAGCTTTCCCTGAGGTGTTTAAATGAAAATGAATCAATCAACAAATTGTTATTAAATGGTATGCAAAACCTTACTAGGTGCTATAGGGCTTTATACACCAACAAGTAGAAAATGTTCATGCTATCCCCATTCTATAGAGTCTGCTTTAACACAGACATTAACAGGCCCAGAACCTCAGGAGCTCTTGCTTTGATAGGATACCTCAGGTCCTATTAAATAACTGCCTGACGAGTCGGGTCACCTGGAAAACACACTACATATTTATGTGGTTTTGGAGAGGCCACTAACAAAAAATCTATTACCAATTACCAACTTGTGTTAGAGTGCTGTCAAATGAAAGGCAAAACCAAAAACAGTCTGTAATTTTTAAAATAATGTTTGAAATCTTTTCTAATCATCAAGCATTTCTTTTTAAGAACTTACAGGTGGCATCTAGAAGGGTTTGCGTGGGGACTAATCACTGGAGAAATAATCCTTCTTGAAGGTTCTTAAGCTGAAACTTCAGAGAGCTGAGGATTCCAACAGTCAGAGATAAGGTAGGAGAACCCTGCTCTCCCAAGCATGGCGGATAGCCTATGCAAAGACCCAGAGGCCAAAGATAGAATGACATCTTGGGGGAAATAGGAAGAAGGCCAATTTGACCTGAGCATGGAGTGTATTGGAGCAGTAAAATATAATCAGCATGGAAAGTGAGGGGAGGGGACGGGAGGAAGAATTTCATATGCCAAATAAAAGAATTTATAGTTTATCGTAAAGGCAATGGGAAACTACCGAAGCTTCTTGAGTGAAGAAATGATACAATCTGACATGAGCCCCAGAAATAATAATTTGGCAGTTGTATGGAGAACAGATTGGAGAAAAGACAGATTGGAGGCAGCAGCCAATTAGAAGGCCATTGCAAAAGTACAGGTGACAGAGGTGATGAGGGCCTGGGCTATAAGTGGTTGTGGCACGAGTACAGTCAATCAGTCAGTTAATAAACATTTATTAAGTGCCTACTACGTGTCAGGCATGTGCCAAGAACAGAAAAGGTAATTGTTAGGAAAGCTGTCAAGAAATAGAAATCAATAACACTCTATCCCACCATACAAGTTCATTTTCCAGACCCAATGATGCTAACCTGTAGCTTTGCAGCTCTTTCGATCCAACTGCAGCTCGTATCCAGGAAAGCAACCACATTCCCAAGACACTGGGCTGAGAGGGGTGCAAAGCTGGCTACACCCACCATTATCTAGTGATGAACAACCTTTAAAAAGAGCAATTTCATTCAGAATTCTGCAGTGTTCAAAAAAATTAAAAGTCAATCATTCATAAAATGCTAATCATAAAATTTAATGACCTATCCTTTTTTTTAATAGTTTATCACTTAAGCTGCTGCAAAAAATAGGAGAGGTGAATAGAGAAGAGTGAAGGTGGAAGTCAAGAGGGATTTACATATTGCATAAATTAAATTACTAAGATCGACCACTTATTACTAGCTGTGTGATGTGGGCAAGTCACTTAACTCCAATTGCCTCCAAAAAAAAAAGGAACTCTTCATCCCAACATGCTTTAGGTATAGTTTGTGGATGACAGAACCAATGTTAAGTCTGATCAAGTTGAGCATACTTACCACTGCACGTTTTTCCATCTTCCTCAAGCACTGACCCTTCAGGACAGAAACACGCGGGACCATCTGATGTCATGACGCAACCATGGCTGCATCCAGTGTCATTGCTTACACAGGAAATTAGTTCTAGTTGTTTGGGGGATAAGACTCTAGTTAGTATTCAACCAAGTTCCCTGCTATTCATTTAAAATGATTTTCTGGTGACCCACAAGTGCTCTTTTGAAAAGGTAAAGTTAAATAAAGATCCGATATTTAGAACTGCTACAGTCAGGGTAGGCGTAAAAATAAAGGGAATGTTTATATTTAAATAGAGTAAGGAAGAACTTTTGGAACTGTAAACTGCCTCTTCTAGTTTCCTCTAAATTATTCTTCTGTCAAATATTGCTTTAATAATCATTAGCCCTAAAAAAAATAATCATTAATCCTACTACAGCATTTGCCAACACTGAAATGGGTTGAATCTGCCACACACGCTCTTCTGGGCTGTCTTACGACCACAATGGCCCTATTCCTGCAGTTCATGACAATTAATATTTTACGGCATTATTGCTCATTGGGGGTGCGACCCTGACCAATAAAACCCATTGATTTCTGAGATGACAGAGACTCCCTTAATGATGACAGGCCCCTCACATTTTTTCCCGGAACCACTCTCCCTCCACATAGTGACACTGTTTCCTCCATAATTCCTTTGGCTACCTTTTGCCAAGAATGGAACACTTGGTTCCTGAAGAAACTCTGCTTCACCTCCCTGTCTTCCACTTCGTGACTTTCCATCCCTTTCTTGATTCTACTCCTGGTTTGCCCCTCCCACCTCCAGAATTCTTTCTAGGCCAAAGTAGTTTTGCTAGTTTTACCCAGCTTTATTTTCTCTAAGATGTCAAATCTCTTTCAAACCATCAGAATTTAACATCGTAATTTTTGACAGGAGTTTTTTCCAAACCTAAGCAACTCATATGATGATAAATTTAGAGCTAAAAGTGATCTTAGAGTTCACCTAATCTAATAACCTTATTTTGCAGATCAGGAAGCTCAGAAACTTGCCCAAAGTCACATGGGTCTACCTATGGCAGAAGTTGAACTCAAAACCAGATCCTCTTAGTTCAGAACCCCAGTTTTCCACTGTATCCCAATAAGGTTAAAAGTTAAAGATGAGTTATTATTCTTCATTGGTGAAAGGAGCTCTCAAGAGTTTCCTCTCTGGATGAAATCATAGGTCATGATCAATGTGTAATCTATCACTTTATCAACTGGATGCTTTTACTTGGAAACTTTAAATGAACCATAACTCTATTAGTGTATAGGTCATAATCCCTGTTCTCTTCCTATACAATTCTTGTCCACATTTTACCATAAATCCTCCATAGGATATCTACCCAGAACACTGGAGGCCTTCCTCTTAGTTTTGTTGGCTTTTTCTCCTTTTATCTCAACAACCAATGTACCCACTTGAGTTGACTATCTAGTATCTCTTTTGCTTTCTTTTCCTTTTATCTGAAGGGCACCAGGGCACCACTCTGGTTGCCTACCATATTGTCTATCATGACTAGGCACTTCCTTTCGTGGCCATACATATCCTCAGCGTCTTCCTGCATTCCATTTACTGAATGCAAGTCATCACTGGTAAGATGCTGAAGCCTGTTTATGCCTTTGTTTCTTTCGTTTGGGTTATTTGTCATTTTAACTCTTCTGAGATCAGGGTGTCCCATAAGTCACAGTTGCATGGCATCACTGTTAAAGTATTGCTATCAAAGAGCTAAGCTACAAGTAATCTGGGATCATTGAAAGCATGCCCAATCCTCATATAATCAAATCCAGCATGGTGGAAGAGAAATGGATCTGGAATTGAAGTCAGAGGATCTGGGATCAAATTCCCATTCTATAAATTACTATAAACCTTATGTGACTCACTTAACTTACTGGGACTCAATTTCTTACAAATGTAAAATAAGAGGTGTTGGAATGGATGAGTGCTGAGGCCATGACAGCTCTAAATCTATGACCTTCCTCCTTCTATTCACTATCCAACTTTGTCCAGGGTGCACATGGTGATAGACTGTGGGTTGCTTATCTGACTACAAAGGGAAGGAAAGAAAATAAGCATTTATTAAGCACCTATGATGTGCCAAGACATTGTGCTAAGTTCTTTACAACTACTATCTCATTTGATCCTTACAACAATCCTATGACATGGTTGGTATTATTGTTTGTTGGGGTTTTTAACTATTTTTTTTACAATTTTTTTTACAGTTTTTACAATTAAGGAAACTAAAGCAGATAGAGGCTAAGGGACTTGCTGATAGTCAGCAAGAACTGAACTCAAGTCTTCCTGACTCCAGGCCTGGCACTCTATCTATCCACTGTATCACCTGGTTACCTAGCATGATCTGGTGACTATGTGATTTTCATTCTCTTTGTTACCAAATAGAAAGCTTCAGAACTGGACCTTTGTGATATTACTCAATACTGACACCAATACTAACCAACCAGAAGGGCAAACAAACTGCTCATACCCTTTAATCCAGCAAATACCACTACTAGTCTATAGCCCAAAAAGATTTTTTAAAAAAGGAAAAGAACCTACTTGTTCAAAAATATTTACAGCAGCTCTCCTTGCGGCGGCAGAGAATTGGAAATTGAAGGAATGACCATCAATTGGGGAATGATTGAATGAGCTGTGGTATATAAATGTAATGGAATACTATTGTACTATAAGAAATGATAAGCAGGCAGATTTCAAAAAACTTGGAAAGACTTGTATGGACTGATGCTGAGTGAAATGAGCAGAACCAGGAGAACACTGTACACAGTAACAGCAATATTTTACAGTAATCAACTATAAATGACTAAGCTATTCCCAGAAATACAATGATCTAAGACAATTCCAAAGGTCTCCTGAGGAAAATTGCTATTCACATCCAGAGGAAGAATTGATGGAGTCTGAGTACAGATTGAAGCATACTATTTTCACTTTCCTTATTTTTTGTGGTCTTTTTCTTTTAGTCTGTTTCTTCTTTCACAACATGAGTAACATTGAAATATATTTTGCATGATTGCACATGTATAACCTATATCAAAGTGCTTGCTGTCTCAGGGAGAGGGGAGGTGATGGAGGGAGAGACAAAATTTGGAACTCAAAATTTTGTAAAGATGGATGCTAAAAATTGTGCTTACATGTAAATGGAAAAAACAATTTTTTTAAAATCTGACTGAGCCCAGAGATGAGGGATGACTTGCCTCACCCAAACCCAAATGGCAATGAGCTAGGTGGGCTATATCAGCTCACAAGGACATCCAACAGTAGGGGGAAAGAAGATGAATTAAGGGATAAGACCACTGCTGAAGTGGATAGGAGAATGAAAATGGACAAAAAAATGGACAAAAATAGAGAAGATAGAAATGCTCAATTCTCACTTTGATTCTGTCTTTTTCTGCCAAAGGGAACAGATTTGGCTTAACCTTATGTCCTTCTGTAACAGGGTTCATAAACTGGTAGAGCAGGGAATACTGAAGTTAGAGTTTACCCAGATTTTAATAGAGCATTTGATAAATTCTCTCATGTTGTCTTTATGGTGTATGATACAGTGGATAGAGTGCTCTAGAACATAGCTCTAGAACAGGAAGAGAACTCAGAAGCCATCTAGTCCACCCCTGTCCCACTAATTTTACAGATGAGGTAACTGAGGCTGTGAGGGAGTCTACATTGTGCCTTGACACAGATACTAAATGACAGAATTTCTTCAAATGAAGAACTTAAAGCTATCTATAGTCGTATAAAAAATGCTCTAAATCACTATTGATTAGAGAAATGCAAATCAAAACAAACACTACACCTGTCAGATGGGCTAACATAACAAAACAGGAAAATGATAAATGTTGGAAAAGATGTGGGAAAATTGGAACACTAATACATCGTTGGTGGAGTTGTGAACTGATCCAACCATTTTGGAGAGCAATTTGGAACTATGACCAAAGGGCAATAAAAATGTGCATACCCAGCAATAGCACTTCTAGGGCTGCATCCCAGAGAAATCATAAAAATGGGAAAAGGACTCACATGAACAAAAATATTTATAGCAGCTCTTTCTGTGGTAGCAAAGAATTGGAAATTGAGAGATGCCCATCCATTGGGGAATGGCTGAACAAGTTGTGGTATATGAATGTAATGGAATACTATTGTCCTATAAGACATGATGAGCAGGCGGATTTCAGAAAAACCTGGGAAGACTTGTATGGAGTGATGCTGAATGAAGTGAGCAGAACCAGGAGAACGTTGTACATAATAACAACCACGTTGCACAATGACTAACTTTGATAGACTTAGCTCTTCTCAACATGGCAAGGATATGGGGCAGCTAGGTGGCGCAGTGGATAAAGCACCAGCCCTGGATTCAGGAGGACCTGAGTTCAAATCCGGCCTCAGACACCTAACACTTACTAGCTGTGCGACCGTGGGCAAGTCACTTAACCCCACTGCCTAGCCAAAAAATAAAATAAAAATAAAATAAAATAAATAAAAAAACATTGCAAGGATATAAGACATCTCAAAAGTCTCATGATGGAAAATGCTATCTATATCCAGAGAAAGAACTATGGAGTTTGGAATGCAAATTGAAGCATACTATTTGCTTTTTTTTCCTCTCTCTTTTGTTTTGTTTCTTCTTTCTTGTGCTCCCTTTTATTGGTTCTAATTCTTCTTTACAACATGACAAACGTGAAAATATGTTTAATAAGAATGTATGTATAGACCCTATGTCAGACTGCATGCCATCTAGGGAAGGCAGGCGGGGAGGGAGAAAATTTAAAACTTAAAAGCTTGTGGAAGTGAATGTTGAAAACTAAAAATAAATAAATTTTTAAAGGACCTAAAAAACCCATTAGTACAGTTTCTCTGTCTCAAATGATCCACACTTTGAAAGGTCAGGTTGCAATTCTTTATGGGAGTCAGAATCTTAACCACAAAACTCATAATCTCAAAGGCTTTGAAATCATGATTACAGGCAATCTTGATAGTCTGTTAGGCCGTATCTTCTCTCTGAGCACACACTCACCAAAAGTCTGATGCTAAAAATGAAAAATGGAGCTCTTTAAGAAGCTGACTCTTTCAATTCAAAATATTCACTCTG